TAGTTGCCAATATTAGGAAACCTGGAGATTTTGCTTACCAAAACAAACAAAGTACTATCTCAATTTCTGTTTACTCCTAAAGATTCAGATAGGCAGGCAGCAGGTCCTTTCAGGTCACAGTCCATGGAGCACTGCCAGTAAGGCTCCAACCTGCCCTGCCCTGCCTTCCAAAACATTTCTTTCTATTTTTTTTTTCTGATTTCAATATCAAAACATGTTTGTTTAAAAAAAATCTGAAACCCCCAAAAAGTACAAAGAATAAATAAAATTAAAATTGAGTGTTCCACACTCCAAGAATAATCAACATTCTCATTTTAGTGTTTTTCTCTCTAGATCTTTTTTCCCCCTAAATGCACAATGTATGCCTTGTTTGAAATTCTGTGTGTGCGTGTGTGTGTGTGTGTGTGTGTGTGTGTGTGTGTATGTGTGTGTGTAACAGTAAATAACCCCCAGCACAAAGCTGGGGTTCTGTTTTGGGGCTCTGCTTTTTTTTAACCACATCTTAAAATGCTCAGGATTTTCACATGGTCATTGGTATAAATGTCTTTATTGCGTGTTCGACGATATGCAGTATTGCACGTGATGCGTTGAACCTCCCCGCTCCTGCATGCAGAGGGTTGACACCTGGTGACTGTCCTAGGTCCTCATACATGAATCATCTTGCAGTGTTTCCTTATGTTTATAGAAGAGGGATTTCTGGGTCATGGTGCTAGGGTTAGTTAACATTTTGCAGGTGACCTAAGAAAGGCTGGACAGAGCTCTGGGGTCACACAGGTGCCTGCTGCTGAGGGGGCCAGTGAACAGGGCCTGGCCTGCAGCTCGGCTGCTCTGAGTGATGATGTCTCTCAGAGTGTGGGGAAAGGGTGGGTTCTGCCTTGCTCTTCCTGCTTTGGAGGCAGGCTCAAGGTGCTGCTGGGGAGGTCCCTCCAGGATCGTGGCATACAGCACAGCAGAGCCTCAGCATATGGGAACTTGGTTCAAAAAAAAAAGAAAAGGCACAGGCGTAGCAATGCCTGAGCCTGAACTGAGTCCCTCACAGAAGGAAGTCCTCCAGCAGCACTTCCTGTTCCCACCACAGAAACTTCTGCTTCTCAGCCCTAAATTAGGCCAGAGCAGGCCCAGCAAGGACAGAACATCTCAGTGTACCAAAGAAGGAAGAGGGTGGATAGTTGTTGACTTAAGGAGTACTGACTCAAAGTCTGTCCTACAGAGAGAAGTAAGACTCTGTTTGTTTGACAAGTATTTACTTGGTGGCTTACTGGACACTGGGCATTGGTCCAGGTTCTTTCCTGATGTCCACCCACTCAGTCTTCCTGATAATTCTGGGAGGCAGATACTAAAGTTTTCCCCTGTCTTACAGAGTGAAGTAGACTGAGAAACAGACATTGGGTAACAGCATCTGAACCCACATGATCTGGCTCTGGATTCCAAGGCAGAATTCTTGAACACGAGCCCTATGCCCCTCACAATGAGGATTGCTTTAAAATTTATTTTTTTCTAAGTTGGTAGAGCACATCCATAGCATGTGGGAGGCTGTGGGTTCAGAATCTGGAACAGAAGAAATCCAAAATGGTTCGTCACAAGAAGCCAGGATGACTTTCTGAGTAAATAACCTTAGACTGATCAGTACCACTGGGGATGGGTGCGGTCCTGTCTCTGAGCCTGTCTCCAGCCATTTTTCACTTCGGTGAGGTCGGTGTCACTGTATTTTACCTTCTGCCAACAAATGAGGAAGCGGCTTCCTTTCTACTCTTCCTTCCCTCAAACTGCTGATTTCCGTGTGTCAGCTGTCATTTAAATTCAGGTGGCTTGTTCCCCTTTTGACCTCTTTTCTGACAGAGATTTTTAAAAAATAGTTCTGAGCAAAAGAGAAGCTAGATACAGAGGAAATAGGAGAGCTTTTTCAAAGGGATGGAGGGACAAGAGATAGATCCGGGAGAAGGGTGAGGAAAAACAGGAACTGAAGGGGGAAAAATCAAGAAAGTAAAGCTTTCGCCAGTAGGGAGAGGACCATGACTGCAGGAGGATTGCAAGTGTGAGCCATTGTGGGGAACTTACTGACTTATTGGGACCCTGTCTCGAAATTTAAAACAACATAAAAAGAAAAAGAGGCTAAAGATGTCACTCAGTGCAGAGGCCTTGAGTTCAATTCCCAGCACACACAGACACACGCAGGCACACACACAAAGGAGAAAAGGGGGAGGAAACGGAAGCAGAAAAAAATAGTTCTGGGCCAGGAATTTAGCTCAGTGGTGCCACCACCTGCCTCGCAGGTGCAAGGTCCTGAGTTCGATCCCCAGTACCAAAAAAAAAAAAAAAAAAAAAAAAAAAAGTTCTAAGAGAGAGAGACAGGTTTGGAGGCAAGGGAAGGAAGCAGATGATGAATGTTAATTTCTGGTGAATCTGGAGTGAGCCTGGGAGTTGTAGGAGCCTTTTATCTAAATTCAATACCTGGGATTGGCAGAGCGGCAGGTATCTCTGTAGCTTGGAAAATAAATTACTTACCTGGGCTGGAGCACAACCCCCCCACACACACACACATGTGCTGTAAGACCTAAAGTCTCACTTCCACTCCGAGGAGCGTGAACAGCCAAAAGGGCCTCCACGATGCTGGGACCTATAGCTCAGTGAGGCTCTAAGAGCTTGATGGAACAGCAAAATCACCCAGGAAGGAACACACCGGACTAGTTGGAAAACAGACCTTTATTAGTCTGGCCAGACGGCACTCCGGGAGCCAAGTAGCTCCGAGAGGCACCAGCTCAGGGGTTTACACAGTTTTTAAAGGCAAGAGGGAGAGGATTGGAAACATAGCAGGTGGGCAAGGGGTCAGTTTTCTGCTGTCTATCTCAGGGGGTCGGGTGTAGAGCACGCCTGGTCTCTTATGTTGATCATCTCTAGACCCCAGGGTGTTCTGTCCTGGCGAGGCCTTGAGTCACTGTCTTCTTTACCCGTACCAGGCTCCCACACACTCTGTTTTGCGTTGCTCTGTGCTGACTAACTGGGGGCCACACAGTGGTCAGGGTCCCACAGCGTACACACACCTAAGAGAAGGACCTATACTTTGGGGTCCCTCCCTGTCAGGGCCCGGGCCCAGGCCTGGTGTTACGCACATGTGTCAGGCAGCTTGCACAGAAGCCCTGGCCACGCCATCTAGAAGCGGCTTTCAGAACGTGTCCAGAGGGTGTGACGGCGAAGGCTGGTGGCTTGGGGCTGAGAAGGATCTGTGGCTTTCTAGGCCGGAGTTTCGGCCCCAGGAACCGTGGCCCCCAGAGGCAAGTGTAGGGCTGTGGCCCCGGGACTCTGGGAAATGCACCGTCAACAACGTGTGTGGCTGTGTGTTCCACAGGGTTTTCAAATGAACAAGGCAAGCCCGCTGTGAAGGGGCAGCTGTGGGACTAAATAAAGTCCACAGTGGCAGGAAGTACGAGTGGAAATCACACAGCATCATTCCTAAGACAGGCTCCCAAGGCTGAGTGTGAGCCATTCAGATCAGTGGTGAGATAGCATGGGAGGAAATACTTGTAAATCGTGTATCTGATACGGGCCTTGATACAGAATATGTAAAGAACTCTTACGACTCAACAACTAAAAGACATATACCTGAATTTTAAAAATAGACAAAGGGAATCCAAAATGTCATAAGCACTCTGGAAAACAGTCTGGTAAGTCCTCAAAAGTAAACAGTTTCCATATGACCAGCAGCTCCATGCCCAGATATGTGCTACAGAGAACCGAAAACATATCCACCCCAAAACTTGTATACTGGTTATGGGCAGAAGATGGAAACACCCATGTCTACCAAGTGATAAAATGTATAAATAAATTGTGATCTGTCTGTGCAGTGGAATGTTATTTGGCAAAAAAAAAGGAACGAAGATGTGATACACACTGCAAGATGAGGGGCCCTTGTCAGGAGGAACCAGTGAAAAGCACCAGTCACAAAACACCAGTCGTATCTGATTCCACTTTAGTATGTGATTCCATGAAGAACAGAGAAAGTGGATTAGTAGTGGCCTAGGGCTTGCGGAGGGGGCAGTTGAGGGAAAATGTTAATGGCTACCAAGTTGCTTTATGGAGTGGTGAAAATACCCTGAAATTGGTCCTGGTGGCATAACCTTGTGCATATATTAAAAATACTGAACTGTATTTTATTTTATTTGTTTTGTTTTTTGGTACTGGGCATCAAATTTGGGACCTTGAACCACTGAGCTAAATCCCTGGCTTCTAAACTGTTTATTTTAGAAAAAGTGACTTGTACGGTGTCGATTAGTTTCCAGTAAAGGTGGTTTTCGTTGTTGCTGTTGTTTCTTCCCCCCCAGTATCCGGAATCGAACTCAGCCTTGGGCTTGCAAGGTGTTTTACATTTGATCTTTGCCAAAAGGCCAAGAACTGGCGACACACACAGGAAGAAGAGAATTCTGTGAGTTGAAATTGTGTTTTCCTTCCCAGCACCAACAGTGAGTGGAACAACTTGGAGTCCTCAGAGGTGAAGTGTACACAGATCACAGCAACGGAGTGTAAGTTCACCACAGCCGGCCACTCGGAGGGCTTCCCCAAGCACTTCAATGTCTCTCTGCGTGTGCGAGCTGAGTTGGGACAGAGCGTTTCTGAGTGGGCGACAGTACCTTGGTTTCAACACTTTCGAAATGGTAAGAAAACATGGGTATTAGAACTTATTTACAATTTCTAGGCTTATGCTAAAGAAGCATGATTTACCAGATTAGATTAGGGATAAAATTTGGCCTACTACCTGTTTTTGTAATAAAGTTTTATTGGAACACAATTATGTCTTTTTTTTTTTCTTTTTTTTTTTTTTTTTTTA